GAACGATGGCACGGGGTTTTGATTTGTTTGCCTATATGGATGAGATGGACATGCAAATTTTTCCCTGTGGCTGGGCTCTTTTATTTTGAATACAGAACGAAAAAAGAACTTAAACGTGCAGAATTAATAAGAAATATAACAGCCAATGCAGCATTAGGTGGTAAAGTGACTCCAAATTTACTCAGTGATTCAGCAGGTCGTACAGAATCAAAATCTACTGGGAATATTATAGCTAAAGTTTTCCCTGCCACACCTCAATTACCTAACAATCCATTAACCATAAAACGCACAAAGCCACTGAAAGTTCAGAACACCATCTCTGTCCATTCATCTCAAGGCCCTAAACCACATGTAAGTATTTACGAACGTATGTCAAATCAATTTGGATGGACCTCTTCACCAAGATTCCATTTTGTTACAGGAGTTTATTTGTCACCTTCAATGAAATTCTGCCTGCACTCTTTATTTCATTTATTATTCTTGATGTTGTTTTCAGTTGTATGTGTATATAATCTACATTTTTCCTGTAGTCGAATGGAAGTAGTTTCTTTATCTTATGTATTGGGTTATGCATTTGAAGAGTTAAGACAGCTGATACTTGAAGCATCTCGAGATGGATTCAGTGATTATTTTAGAGATGGTTGGAATTGGATCGATGTGTTTGCAATTACTTTGACATTTATTGGATTTTGTACAAGAATGAATGTGGTAAATAAACATGGATCAGAATTCGAAGAAGCTCATGATGTTATACTTTATACAACTCGTAATCTTTATATGCTTGGTCTAAATCTTTTTTATATGAGAACTCTACATATTACTTCAATTTCACCAATTATTGGTCCACGACTTAAAATGATGGCTGATATGTTACGTAAAGATTTGATACCATTATTAATAGTATTTGCAATTTTCATAGTCTCTTATGGAGTATGGTTTCAAGGATTAATATATCCAAATAGTTTTTATGAAACACATGGGCAACGTCAAAATAAACATTTAATGAACAGCACTGAATTATCACGTCAACGTGATATGCAGAGACTTGGAGTGCTTATGTCATTTAGTGAATTATTTCGACGCGCCTTCTATAGTATATTTGAAGTGAGCATTGTTTTAGAAGAAGAGACATGTGAAGATAATAAATATTGTGGCAGTGAATTAGGATTTAATACAGTTATATTTTTTGTTCTGGTGCTATACGTTGGAATTGTTAATATTATCTTAATCAATCTACTTATTGCATTGTTCAGTAATACAGTATCAAGAATTGATCAAAAGTCAACAGCACATTGGTTAGCTGGACGTTATAAAATGGTTAAAGAATATAGTGAACGAACATTATTACCACCACCATTCAATACATTATGCATAATTTATGAATTATTTCGTTGTTTCTACATTGGTACTAGTCAATGCTTTTGTAAGGATATAAAATTTCCATTTGGAAGAAATAAAAAATTGTTTAAAACTGAGTCAAATGATGACTTGGAGGAACAAGAAAATGAATCACCTGATGAAGAGAATAGTAATTTGAAAAAACATTTAACTAGAGAAAACCAACTAATTAAAATTAAAGAAGAGAATAATAGACGAATTAAATTATTAATGGGTGAATCAGATGATCGTGGTAAATTATATAAACAAGAAATTGACGCCGTATTAAAATTCATTTTAATACAAAGTTTTGCATTACAAAATAGTAGGCATACATTGGGCACAGGAGTTAGTTTTAGAGGACCATATACCAGTCAAAATACAAGCAGTTCTGATGGAACAACTAATAATGAAAGTATACAATTACGTAATAATCAAATAGATAGTCGATTAGAACGTATTGAAGCTATATTAGAAAAAGTTGTTGATCGTGTAAATCAAATTAAAATAACTGATACATTATCCACTCAAGAAACACCAACTATACGTTCACCTGTTCCTATACGTATGCCATCTGTAAAATTGACTCATGCACCTACTGATGTACAGTTTACAGCTACAAAAATTCCAACATCAAAAGAATTATTTCAACAACTTAGTGATGAATTTCGAAATGAAACTGAAACAAATACACAATCTCTTAGCAGTAAACCACCATCTATCAAAATACAAAAATCATTATAAGACACTGTAGTTTATTTTTTGAAAAAAAACTCTTAATAACCTATGCAATTAAATAAGCACAATAAAAACTGGGTTTCTTTCTCACTATATACAGAATACAGGCAAATCTAAAAATCTATAATATTCATACTATAGAGAATTATTTTCTAGTACAGTTACTATTTATTCTTTAAGAAGAAATATTGGGAACAATTTAACAAAATAAAAGTAATATGAAATGTAATGTCATAAACAATTGAAATAAACATTAGAATTTCGATAATGCAATAAGAAGACAAAGTTTATCAGAATTATGTGATATATTTGCTCAATACATTTCGAACAATCTAATCATACATAATACACTTGTTAAGAATATTTATAAATGAAAACTAAAAGGTCAACTAGACAGATTAAAGGTAAGCCGTAACATAGAAAAAAATAATCATAAAGTACACAAAACACAAATGTGATTACCACTTTAATATTTTTTCCTTTGTTATGATTTACCTTTAAACCTGTCTAGTTGACCTTTTAATTTTCGTAGAACAAATGTCTTAACAAGTGTATTATGTGTGATCAGATTGTTCGAAATGTATTGCGCAAATGTATCGCATAGCTCTGATAAACTTTGTCTTCTTATTGCATTATTGAAATTTATCAAAGGGACAGATTGTTTTAAACATTAGAACGTTGTTTTCTTTTTTCTAAAAAATAAAGAAAAGAAGAAATATTATCTAGTTATTCATCTATGATTTTTCTTTCTTTCTTTTTTTTTCTTTCATTTATTCTTTTATTAATAAAGAATGAATAATTCCATTAAGTTATTCATTGAAATAACATGTGTATGTAATAGAGATGTATATGAAAACAGATGAACTAAACATAATATAATTTTAATAGATTAATTAATCAGGGATAGATATTTAATATTCATTAAACATGAAATCATTTTGATCAAAATGTACATCATTCATTAAAGAATAGATCCGTTTTTTATTGATTGATTGATTTGATTGAAATAAATAGTTTATTAATTTTTTTTGGGGGGGGGGATGGGAGAGGGGTGAGTGATGGGGTGGGGTGGGTTAAAACTATTTCAATTGTACCATCATTTTAATCTATTGTATATTCTCTAATGATTTACTGATATATATCTATTTCTTAACAAAATTATATTCAAGTTAAATATCCCCTTTTTACAAATTAGTTTGACCAATTATTTTTTGAGAAAAAAAGACAAAAAAAGAGAGAAAACTTATTGAATCGTAGAGTGTCAGTTACTATTGTATCTTTATGTGTTACATGTTCGATTGTATATTTAATGATTAACAATAAATTAAATTGGTGTTATTATCAAGGTTTAACTTGATAATTTTGAATAAATTAAGCATTGGGTAGATTGTGTGCAAAGATGGATAGTGGTTAGCAGTGGAATCTATGACGCGCGTTTCGTCCTATTCTGGACTCGTCAACTCGATGTACCTGCACCTCAGAGTTGATGTTCACTTTGGAGCTTCAACTCAATAGCGTTTGCTTCAAATGCCATTGCGCTATCCATTTCGCTACTGAGTCCTTGCGTATAATGCTTGTGAATTAAGACTATATCGAGGCAATCTGCACAGTTTGCATTGTGAAAGAAAAGATCCGAGTTTATACAATATTACTAGTAAATCTCTTTTCATATTGATAAAATTTAGTCACTCAGAACATATAAACATAAACCTGCATATATACACTTATTTATTGAGATTATTTAAGATCGCTTCGTGAACTATTTCCATAATCTCCTCTATACGGATAATTACTGTGTTAATTATAGAAATTGGAAAGCTATAAGACGAAGGTATGTCTCAATTGGCTAGTCTTTGGTAATGGTTAGATCTGTAGAAAGCTTTGTCGTAAAATTACTAATCTATTGTTTATGACATATTCTTTTAGCTCATGAGTTGACTAGTTTTATCTCAACATATATTGATAGGTTTCGACCTGAAAAGCAGATTTTGAAAATTCCTGTCTGGTGTAAAATTCTTCTAGTCCATAATGATTCTTACATGTAAGTGAACGAACCATGTTATTTTGCAAGTAAACCGTGTTTAGACGAAGTTTGTCGACAATTTCTATTCCTGAAAAGATATTTATAGTTGGCTTGCAAATACTGATCCTGAGCTTTTTGATACATAAATCTTGGGCAAACATTGAACTGTCGTCAATGTCTTTCTAATTCCCAAGAAGCGTTGATTACATGTTGGCAGATAAATTAGTTTATGTTGTTTAAAACATTATTTTGCTTGTTGTTCAAGGTTGTAACTAACTGTTATTTATTAGCTATAGCGCACATAACAGCTTATTTAGTTACTGAAGCAGTAACGCTATGTTTATACACAGACATTAACTTCATAGGTGGCCTTACTGAGACAGAATAAATTTCGTATGCAGGAAATCGTTCGAACTATTCCTCTTACTATGGTTTATTGGAAGTCTTAATGTGATAAATTGAAAATGAGGCTAAGGAAAAAGACCAACAGATGCGTTCACGTAGTGAGCAGTGATCAAAGTACGCCAATATGACAAGTGCTGTTTCCGAGTCAAGTATTTTATAAGCAACGCAAGTAAAAATTTCCCAACTCCCTAAGGTTGATTTATCATTTTCTCTAATTTTGAAATATTGCTGCCACAGAAAAAGTGAAGATAATGCTGATCAAATAGCTGTTAGAGCCTCTGCATGAAAGGATCTGGAGAGGCGGAGATATCGTTGACCTGGTGTTGAAACACGATGATGGCATTTAAGAGATCTTTTTATCACAGTTGTGACAACTGGGAATATTTGCTGATCAGTGACTGATTATCACTCAAATGAACCCCTTGGCAAATTTATAGAAAGCAAAAACAAGGTTTCTCGAATACGATGAATTTATTATATTTCTTTAACAACATGCAAGCTAATAATTTTGATGAATCTAATATTTTAACAGAATTAGGAATTACGAAATTCACTAAAGAAAAGTAAATTGTGAGGGGAGTGAAATCGGAAAGTTTTGAAGAAGTTTCTGTAACATTTCAGTTAATTTTATTGCATAATTACAAAGGAAATATCTAACATGAGGGAATATAAGTTTTTAAACCCAACATACAGGATTGTGCTCATAATTACGCAAACTTTTTTACCACCATTACTTCAAAAGGCATTGATTACCAATGTTTTTTAATGAAACAAACTGGATTTAGCCCAATAATTGCATCATAGTAGAGTTTCACCGAAATAATGTTTTCACACTACAAAACAAAATTTGTGAAAGGTATTGTCCATTGTAAATGTTTTTCTAATAGATATACTTCTGGATAGTTTGGAGGCTACTTTCTCGACAAGCCTCATTTTAAAAAAGAGTGATGTCATCCCTCCCAACTCTTTATTGTCGTTTTGGCATTTGAACGAATTCCATGAAAAGGTTCGACTGACTTATTTGTATAACATACGGATATACAGCCATACGATTTTAGTGTAATTTAAGTTAGTTGAATTAATATTATACACATACATGGATTACTGAGATACTCGAGTTTTTTATTCATAGTATGTTTTACTTTTTTACTTCATACCATTTGAATTGCTGAATTTTACTACTTCCTAGTTTTAAGTGTGTGTTGTACGATGCAATGGATTTTTCAATGGCAAGAGAAGTTGACAATCATAATTATGCATTGTAAACGGTTAGCTAGATTTGTTGTCTAAAGTACTTATTGTAACCAATATTCTATGGGATTGCTGAAATAATAGTTCTCAATAACCTTAGATGATACCATCGCTAAGCTAATAAGCACAATGATTGATACCATAATAAATCAGTCACTTCACAACTGAGCACTTTTTAGGAAACAAACATTAAACAACGATAGTAATAGTCATAATAATAGTAATAAATCATATTTACAATGTACATTTGAATTATACAATATACCTTAAAACATAATATCACTAAAAAAGAAGAAACATTGTCCTGTCAAGATAAAAAAATAGGAGGGAATAAAATCATCACCGACGTCTTTTATCGCGCATATAGTTTTTGAATCGTTGAAGTGCAATATTATCTGTGGATTTTTCGTTACGAATATGTGGTCGGCTATCTGCAAAAAATATACATATATAAATGGGAAGGCAATAAAATCTATATCATAGATGCTTATGAGATATGACAATTAAAAAGTTAATTATAAAGTCTTAGATGGAAACAATTTAATGATCTAGTAATTGTTTTAAGAAAAAGTTACTTGAAATGTATGGTTAGATGTTAAGCTGAAATAGTGGTCTAGATGTTAGGCGTTTGAGCGCGGGACAGAGAGTCTCGGGTTCGATTTCCGACTCAGTAGTTTGAGTGGTTGAATTTTCTCCAAACCTGAAAGCTCAGAGTGCTATTCCTGATGTGGTCGGGGATACGAATTGTATAGGGGTCTCATACTGGGGAATGAGACAGCTGTCAGTGCTTCCTAATTTTAATGGTATCCAAACCGAGATCAATTTGTGATGAAAGCAACCTACTAAACTAAGCCAAATTAAACGTATTCAAAATTTCACTACACTGCGACTTTTAGTTTCTTGTCTGTATCAACGACAAATAAGAACAGAAAGATGAATCTCGATAAACTTACTATCTAAACGACGATTTTCCCTTTGAGGAGACATCGGATTATTTTTCGTTGATTCCAGCTTGCTTGTATTATTATTGGCTATGTGGCTGAGTTCTCGTTCGTTGTTCAAATCAGCTCTTTTACTGATTCCATTTGTGTAACTATCTATATTTTTTAAATGAAAATTTACAAAGAAAATAGGAAAAATTTGTTGATTCATACTTTATAATACTAGTATTAGCAATATATTTTCGACAGCTTAAACAAGTGAGTAGTGTCCCACAAATAGGCGTAATAATTAACATAAATATTACAAAATTTAATGGGGATCTTGGCAAGGATTTTATCATCTATAAAGAAAGTAGAGAATTCTGATATCATCTATATGTCCAATATCATGAAAATGAAAGTTACAACTATTTCTTTTGGTAAAACTCAACGCAGATTTTTTATAATACTGGAGCACTTTAAATCTTAACATATGAAGTCTTGGCATGATTTTAGGGTTGACTCAAATGATTCTAAATAAACAGGCAATAAACTCCTGGAATTACTTTGGGCCACGAATCCATTGTATAACAGCTTTAAATACCATTTGGTTTAATATGGTTGTTTCATTGATACAGACTTAGAACCAGAAACAATCAATAAGTTTGATTAGAAGTTGTTGATATCACCCACCAGAGCACATGAAAGTATCAGGAATAAAGTCGATACCATTGACCGATAGTTAGGTTAAATAGTCCGAAGACTAGGTCAAATTGTTTGACTCAACCTTCGTGAAAATAAAAAGATTGAGCACCTATACTTCTGTCAGAAGGTTAGAAATGTTAGGATACCAGTTTACGATAAAGGAATTAAAATAGTTTCCAAATTTCTAATTAATTCATCTATCAAACACTTCAGTATGAGGCATATTCCAAGTGAGAACTAATGGTATTATCTGGTTGTTCAAAACAAAGTAGGTAAGACAAGGTTTGAACTTAGGGTTTAGGGGATGAAAGTAAAACTTTTTAACCATTAAACCACCGGTCAAGCAACCAAGCCAATGATAATTTTAGACATCAAATTAAATATCGGGTATATTGTTAGATATAGTGTAGAGACTAGTTTCAGGTGAATAAAGTGCACACCCGAAATATTAAAGAATAAGGCATAAAAAAAATGATAACTTATTGAACTAATACAATGTTAACTTTGACTAACACGCGATTATTCATGTCTGAATGCTAATACAGAAGACGTCGCCATGCTGTGATCTACGAAACAAGTGTTACCTAATAAGATGACTAGAAGTTTTCACAGAAGTGATGTGACCCCTTACTTAGCTACCTCGAGAAATAAACATTTCATAACATTGATAGCAATGCACGTTCCTTTTTTTCCTTTTACTAGCATGCGACAACGAAAGCTGGCCTTCTAGTCACCTTGTGGTATATGCTACTTATGTTGACAGATATAAGTAGTGGAATGCCTGGCAGCAGGAGACTGAGAAGATTGCATCAAAGAGAACAGGAATGTAAACACAGAGCAATTGTAATAACAACAGAATTGAGGGAATCAAGAAGCATGTATATATATATATATATATATATATATATATATATATATATTTCATTTATGGTTTCCATAAATTTGAAAAAAGACTAATTCTGCATTAAACAATAAATTGGTGTTCCCCCACCTGAGTTCTTGTTCACTACAACCTAACTCCTTACGTTTTCTAATATAAACATTTGATGTATACAATTGTAATATTGACAAATTAAACGACGCATGAAGAGAAAGCAGCAAAGACAATCAGATTGACTATAATATAAATGTTGGTAATACGGAATATCTTACTATATTATACTTTATAGGTTCTATGAAATATGAACAAATAAATCTGGAATCCACACGTGAATAGACAGCAAACATTAACTCACTCCACCGACTGTGCTGAACGAAGTTGACTGCCATACTACTTGGTGCTATGTGATCTGTTGAATAACCATGTTTGCGACTTAATCTTTTTCTAAAAAGTGTTTGCTTGGCTTCTTCTGTGGCTTCTATGTTTTTCATTTTCGCTTCTACACCCAAATCAACTTCAGGGATACCACATAACATTTGGTTGGATAACATGTCTTCCTTCTGTTGACCAATTGAAGGTTTGAGATACTCAGGAACATCCTGTAGTAAGTCTGAATCTTCATCCCTAAATCAAATATGGAGAATTTATAAACAAAACATGATGAGAATTAGCATATTTAGTTGTTTGGATCATAGTTGTATTAAAATAATTCCAATAACAGGTATTGGATTTTGACTACATTTCAAAGACTAGTAACCTAACTAGTCTACTTTTTAACAATGAAATGAAAACTAATTCAAAATATGTGTGACACGATGGGTCATATATAAACTAATTATGAACATTTCTAAGTTTGTGAACCTTAATTTATAAGCATAGGCTACGTAACTAACGCCTTTTAGATAACTATTGACGAAAACAAATAGAGATGGAAAAGAATTCATTCTCCATAAAGTTAAAAAGTGATTAAATGCAAATTTCTGTATTAGACTATATATTGAACATATACTGTGACAGCTAATGGAAGCATCCAACTTCAAGAACCTTAGTAAGGTGGTGTGGCAACTCGAACTGATGTACGTACGTACGAAGTTCTACGTTGTTACTGACTGACTGACTAGTAAGCAGAAAAGGTCTCGGGGTCCATAACTCATTAAAGTAGGGGAAAATGAGCTGAAAATAAGCCACAATATTCACGTACAGGAACACCAGTATGGACAATCGAATGTATTAAACACAAAATTACAGGATTTGTTAATAAAATCTAACAATCATATAGTAAATGCTAAATTTGCAAAATGTCCATCAATTGTCTTAAAATGACTCAGACTTCATTGTTCTTGCATTCTCATACAAATTGCATTCCGTTTCCATTCTTTACTGTTCGATCCTCTTGTCTCTCCGCTGCCAGATATTGTTCATGACTGACGTCATATACTACTTATGTCGATATAAGTAGCACATACCACACTACTATATGACCATGAGACTGAACTAGACATAAAACATCTAGTTTAACAGGAATAAATGAATATGAAATAGTACGAAGCTCAATTTAGATATATCATAAATTCCACTTAGCCACTGTGATAGATTTTGGACTGTCTTTTAAAATCACACACTTTTATTAGGGAATGTTTGACAGTATTCGTCCAATCAGTAACAAACAACGTACAACTTGACATTAATGTGTATACGATTAAAGTTGTTACACGAAGGGAAATGAAAAAACATGCCAAATAGAGCAGTCGGAAAAGTGACATCGGAGTCTGACTGTTTAGTCAAGTTTCAAAGTGACGTTTCCTGCAGCTAATACCGAAATGAAATGGCGTAGTTTGATATGTTAAAGATTGTCATTTAGGTGGTAAGGTATTCGTGTAAAGATCTCAGTAGTGTGGAAGTACTTTCTGTCTGGTTTCCAAGTAGCACTGGAAGTAACAGAAGAGTGGTCAAGTTTTAAAAAACGATTGGTTTAGGTTAGTTTTTTAGCATGTCATAAGCTGCTTATTATAGCGAAACTCGTTCCAATCATTATTTAAAAAAAATAACACTGAGAGCAATATGGTCTCATTTGTATGCTCATATCGTAAACAAACACTTTATATAAGGTCAGGAATTTAGTTCTAACACTGACGAATTATTTGTAAACTGTTTCAAGTTGTTTCTACAGATAAAGAATACTTGAAATATATTACATATGTTGTCTCCAAACAAATATAAGAAAAGCATAATTCATACAGAAAGTACTGAAACATACCGGTCTAGGGTGGAGGGTTTAATTAATCCCTTTCGTTTGGCTACTTCCTCCTCGATGTACTTGATCCTAAAATTAAGCATTATAAAGAATGAGGAAGATTACATTTCGGCATCTTCATCTCTCTTATTAGTTTCTGTGGCGAACGTTTTGGCTAGACGAGCTTCAACGTCATCGTCCTCTTCGGATTGTTTAGCAGATGAAATACTGTTTAGGTCAACTAGACCACCAGTCTTAAGTCTAAATGGGTCGTTGGCGATTGTTAGATTGAGATCTGGAACTTCTTTACCAGTGGCTAGTGCAGACAAGCTTACTCCAGCTGGTCGTTTCCTTAGTTTTTGCAATTCTCTTATTGCTTCCACAACTACTGTGGAGTCTGCAACAACAGGTGCAGTAGAATCTTCGAGACGATCCTCCTCAGAATCTGAAGAGACACTCAGCTCTGTGGTTTGTCTCAGGCATCGCACCTTACGCGACTTCATGTGACACCTGAAGGGAAAAAAATGAAGCATTTCTTAAGACTTGCTAGTTAAGGAACCTTCAAAACCTTCATAGACTTGACAGCATTTTTTGGACGTTGCCCCGTAAGATGACTGTACTTGAGTGAGTTCAAGTGGATTGGAGACGCTACCTAGAGAGGAGCTGAAAAATGACCGAAATATTCATCTGGAAGGGCTTTACTAACAAGCGGCTAACAACTTGCGCATTATGACTATTGATAGCTGTGAGCCTCAGTAATTACATTCACATTGACCAACGAATCTTACTTTATTCCGACAGAACATGGGTACCTAAATTTTACCTACACCTGAAGATAATCGGACTGATGGTCTCAGAACTTTGGGTAGATCGTACCCAGACAAATGAGATGGAACGATCCCTTAAAAGGACCAAATTTTCATGGATTCTTATGGTGATAAGCTACAACCTACCTTCAAATGTTGTCATTAAAAAATATGTTTCAATTTCTAACTCAGTGACTGGTTCCTGAACCTTTCAAGACTGCTCGAAGACACATATTAGACTTTGTCAGGGGATTTGCTTAAACTTTCAGGTGCACTGGGGGATTGTCATATACTAAATGTTCACCTCCTGGTTTACACAACGGACAACATCATTGTTCCAGTCTGTTGGCAACCCAAGCTGCCAATTTTGAGGAAAATTTGGCACATTTTGGGGAAGCCGCTATAGTAAGTTTTGGGGAAATGGCACAAAAACCCCAAAATTTCCCCAAAGTAGGTAGCTTGGGATATTTGACTTACCCAGAGACATGTCTAATATCCTTACCTTGTATGCCACTACCCGATAACTTTAGAATGAACTAATCAGAAACAACTTATTTCTTATTTTCCCCCTTGATTTTGACGAAAACGCTCCAATATACCTATTTCTATATAAACGCCGTTAAAATGAAGCCTATTATAATGAATTTTTGAAGATTTGTATAAACTAGGACTGAAATGCGAGAAAACATAAAAAAGAACATAAAATGTCATGTAACAGTCTAATTACTCCTGAAACCGTCGGACAAATATAAACGTAACGCCAGAAATTGTACTACGAATCTCTTTATCTCAATATCCAATGTCTTTGTGGTGAGCTTGTCTAAACCTATTGATTGGGTGAATTTATCCGTGAATGCCACATTTACGAAACTGGGTTGCGTTTAAAAGCACCCTATTGGTTTCTGTGAAATAGCTTCTACAAGTTGTGGTCGGGTTATAGGTCTTCCATGCCGTAAAATGTAGGTTTCTCAGCTACTCCGTTGTATGAAACCAAGTGGACTTGGTATTTAAATGGTTCAAATGGTTGTAGACGGAATAGAAGAAGCTCAGGGTCCCTGAACACAACAGTGGTTCCCAAAAACCCTGTAGGTGATTCGACATACGTTAAGAGAGCCCAAAAGAACCAGGCATCACCGCCTAAGCCGAGCAACCCAAGTGTTGCTGCACGGAAAATAAGTGGGGATTTGGTCGCACAGTCTACCCTCAAGACTGTTCGTCCGGTCAATAAAGAGCCCAAGACTCAAAAACGCACACTGACCTTCAAACAACAAGTTATTAAACCTGAACCCATCGTGAAACCTGGTAAATTAACAACAGTTCGTGACAATTCTCTCATTATCATGAACCTCGTTGACAATCCTGGCATTCCTCTCAGTTTGCAGGACAAAAACGACAGGATGCCCTGGTGTGAATTGAACAAGAAGCTCGAACTTCCTAGAATAGAGCCTTTGACGGTCACCCGGCTCACTCGAGGAAAAGATTCTAAGCATCTAAATCACCCGAGGCTTCTTCGAGTAACACTTAAGAATGCTACCGACGTAGAGGACGTCTTGCTAGCAAGTCACTTGCTAAAATCAGATGGTAACGTAAGTATATTGCCCGACATACCGTACTCTGAGCGCAATATCATACGAAACATCCATAAAGAATCTCGCGAGTTTTTCCGCGGAAGAAACATAATTGTTCAAGGTATACCGGAAAATGCAGACCCTACTCAATCAAATTCTGACATCAGGGAATGGAAATTCATCAAACAGTCCTTGAGGCTCAAACACATACTGACTCAGCATGTGACGAGACTAGCCAAGAAGGATGGTCATCCAAGACCGCGTCTAATGAAGATAACCTTCCCATCTTCCCACATGGCGACTGCAGTTCTGGAAGTATTTCGTGCCAACAGACGTCGACTGCCACCTGGAATCCACATGCACCCGGATAGGCCATACGAAGCTAGGACCAAGAACAAAGGCAAGTTAGAGCTGACCATTCCACTTGTGGACTGTCTAAACGATAAAAAAACGTGTAAAGGACAGGGCCTACCACCTCGGCAAACCTCATATAGGTGGGCTACCTGTCCATTCACATAAGGTTCATACAGAAAAACAGGACGAAGCTCACGCGTTCCAAATTGAAAGCATAAACTGCTTATATATGAACGCCGCGAGTCTACCAAACAAATTGGATGAACTACGTGAACTTAGCAACGATAATAAGGCCCATCTGATAGGAATATCTGAAACCTGGATATCTTCTCAGTTCTCGGACCAAGAGTTAGCATTACCTGGGATGACTTTGTTCCGCAACGACAGAAAAACAGGAATTGGGGGCGGAGTAGCCATATACATAAGCTCTTGCTTGGAGGTGCACCAAGTTCACAACCTCGAGTTTAACAATCTTGAGGAATCCATACGGAGCTCTGCAAGATTGTCTAGTACTTCGAGGTGTCTAGTTGGAGCCATTTACAGGAAGCCAACTGCCGACATCGAGTACGATAGTCGTATGCTGGAAGGACTATCTCGCTCTATCCGTCTCGGTTGGCTGAATGTGCCAGCTCTACATGACTATCTACAACAGGTGGTTTGGGATGTTCACCCTCAACTCGATGTGGATGGTCATTGAGACTTCTTACTGCACACGCTCTTATGTGCTACAGACCATTCAGTTCCTCAAACGGTTCCAAAAAGCTGCAAGCCACCTACAGTAATCAAGAACCGTACCCTTCGCCTGCTAAGCCGCAAAAGGCACTGTTGGGCGGAATACAAACGAACTGACAACGATGGAGCGTACAGGCAATATAAACATATCAGGAACATATGCACGAAGGCTATAAGAGAAGACAGGCTTCAGTACCAAACAAAGCTTATGAACAAATTCGCCTCTAACCCTAGAAGCCTATTCCGTTATGCAGCCTCTCTTCGTCAAGCCAAAACAGGAGTTTCTCAACTGCTAGGTCTTAACGGCCCGACCAACAACGATGGCCACGCCGCTAACCTTCTGACGGCACATTACTCTCAAACATTTCAACCGGCTGACATCAACTTTATTGACGACAGTTTCATCTGCAGTTCCACAGGACTTTCTGAAGTGGACCTAAGCGCTGACTTGGTGTTCTGGAAATTGCAGCACTTAAGACTAGATACTTCTCCTGGCCCGGATATGGTTCGTCCTGCCATACTGAAGGAGGCAGCCTCAATCCTGACAACGCCGCTTAGCGTGATGTTTTCACACTCGCTTAGCCGAGGCAAATTACCGGAAAGTTGGAAGTTGGCTCACATCACACCAATTTTCAAAGGAGGTCGACGCAATGAACCTTCAAGTTATCAGCCGGTGGCTCTTCTGTCATTACCTTCAAAACTCATGGAATCCCTGATGTGCGACGGTATAAACGACTATCTACTGTCCTTAAATTTCTTCTCACCCCAACAGCATGGTTTCAGGAAGGGTTACTCTTGTATAACCAACCTGCTGACTGCGGTGGACAGATGGACAAGCATCCTCGATCGCAAGGGAAAGGTTGATATCATTTACCTTGATTTCTTAAAAGCTTTTGATAAGGTTAACCACTTGTGTCTTATCAATAAGCTCAAACGACTAGGTTTCAAACCACCCCTAATCGATTGGCTTACTTCATAATTAAAAAATCGACACTTTAAGGTTAGGGTTAATTTCACTTTATCTCAGGCTATGGAATGTCCTAGTGGGGTCCCCCAGGGCTCAGTACTAGGGCCTATTCTCTTCTTGATCTACATAAATGATCTTCCTCAACAGGTAACGTCAGAAGTATTACTTTTTGACGACGACGCAAAACTTTGGAGAGAGATACGCAACCAAGACGATATACAGACCCTTCAGGAGGATCTGACTCGACTTCAAAGTTGGGCAGACGATGACGGACTTACCTTTAACACTTCAAAGTGTAAAGTAGTCCATCTGCGACATGTCGCAGACTCCAGTTACAACTCAGGAAACTCCTCTCTAGTAGTATCCCAAGTCGAAAAAAGATTTAGGAGTCCTGGTTCCCTACGATTTAAAGTCTTACGCTAACTGTGACAAAAATGACTTTCGAGCAAACCTTGTACTGGTAACATTGAAGCGCATTTTTGGAGAGTTTGACGGAAGAACTTTCCATATAATCTTCAATAGTTTCATCCGTCCCCATTTAGAGTACGGAAACATAGTACTCCCCCTCACTCCAAAAGGATAAGGACACTTTAAGGCGTATCCAACGGCGAGCCACCAAATCAGTTCGAGGACTCAAATCTAAGCCTTACGAAGAGCGCCTCCATTCACTTAACCTTTACTCATTAGAATATAGGCGTCTTAGAGGTGATTTATTAATAGCTTATAGTATTCTTAACACTTCTGGGCATCCTCTTAAACACCTACTTAAGCTGAGTTCGGATAATAACCTAAGGGGTAACACCCAGAAACTGGAAACACAACATAGCAAGACGGAATGTAGACACAACTTCTACTCATTAAGAGTTGTCAAAAGCTGGAATTCGCTGCCGGCCGAGCTAGTCCAAGCGACTTCTCAGGAGTCCTTCAAGAGGCAACTTGACCTATTCTTAAGGACCAAGGACAGCATCACACTATGATTTACCAATTTCTTTTCCTCTTTTATTGTTAACATACCTAGGTTCCTGCCTGGAGGATTTGGTGACCCCCTGCTACTAGACACGGAAGCCTTCAAATGGTTCAAATGGTTGTGGACGGAATAGAAGAAGCTTTCGCTTAACAGGCTTCCGTGTCTAGTAGCAGGGGGTCACCAAATCCTCCAGGCAGGAACCTAGGTATGTTAACAATAAAAGAGGAAAAGAAATTGGTAAATCATAGTGTGATGCTGTCCTTGGTCCTTAAGAATAGGTCAAGTTGCCTCTTGAAGGACTCCTGAGAAGTCGCTTGGACTAGCTCGGCCGGCAGCGAATTCCAGCTTTTGACAACTCTTAATGAGTAGAAGTTGTGTCTACATTCCGTCTTGCTATGTTGTGTTTCCAGTTTCTGGGTGTTACCCCTTAGGTTATTATCCGAACTCAGCTTAAGTAGGTGTTTAAGAGGATGTCCAGAAGTGTTAAGAATACTATAAGCTATTAATAAATCACCTCTAAGACGCCTATATTCTAATGAGTAAAGGTTAAGTGAATGGAGGCGCTCTTCGTAAGGCTTAGATTTGAGTCCTCGAACTGATTTGGTGGCTCGCCGTTGGATACGCCTTAAAGTGTCCTTATCCTTTTGGAGTGAGGGGGAGTACTATGTTTCCGTACTCTAAATGGGGACGGATGAAACTATTGAAGATTATATGGAAAGTTCTTCCGTCAAACTCTCCAAAAATGCGCTTCAATGTTACCAGTACAAGGTTTGCTCGAAAGTCATTTTTGTCACAGTTAGCGTAAGACTTTAAATCGTAGGGAACCAGGACTCCTAAATCTTTTTTCGACTTGGGATACTACTAGAGAGGAGTTTCCTGAGTTGTAACTGGAGTCTGCGACATGTCGCAGATGGACTACTTTACACTTTGAAGTGTTAAAGGTAAGTCCGTCATCGTCTGCCCAACTTTGAAGTCGAGTCAGATCCTCCTGAAGGGTCTGTATATCGTCTTGGTTGCGTATCTCTCTCCAAAGTTTTGCGTCGTCGTCAAAAAGTAATACTTCTGACGTTACCTGTTGAGGAAGATCATTTATGTAGATCAAGAAGAGAATAGGCCCTAGTACTGAGCCCTGGGGGACCCCACTAGGACATTCCATAGCCTGAGATAAAGTGAAATTAACCCTAACCT